CCTGCTGCTTGCAGGCTTTGTAGAGAGTCACTGCTCCACTTTGGATAAGTTAAACCGTTTTAGTGCTTGTTTAATATTTGTTTTGATGACTTTATTACTTTTATATATATATTCATATTTCTGACTGTCATGACAACATACATTGAAGTTGGTAGATTTTTATTTACCATAAAAGTGCTTATTAGTATTGTCACAACCTTGACAGCCTATTTAAGTGACAACACTTGATTTCATAATTTATCAGCTATATGCAGCTGACACCTTAATATTTTGAAAGGAAAATGATGCTTATTGTTTTACTTCCGCTGGATCTGACATATCTTGTTAGTGTGCCCTGCACTCTTGTGGCCTTAAAGCAGTGTTGTGCATGAAAAGAGCACAGTTCATTGAACACACTCATTTTTTGTGAACTCAATGGATCAGTTTGCAAATGTGAATGTGAGTTTTGTTCACATTCAGGGTGGCGAAGTAAGCAGCAAAGAGCTAAATATAAATCTACCATTACACCATAACAGATAAACACTCCTCAAATTTACAGTAAGAAGGTGGAGAAGACAAGAAACATGAGTCACAGCCAAGACCTTGAGTATCCCAGCTGCTTGCAGGCAGAGACCCCCAGCCAGTTGTTCCAGTCCTCTGAGCAGACTGTCCACCACACTCCCCCTTTCTGAACCTGCAGCACGGAGTTCCTCCCACTCAGACGCACTGACACACAGACAGAAACAGAGACAAACGAGACAGACAGAGTGAAAAAGACAGACACAATTAGACATGTACAGACAGAGAAAGACAAAAAGGTTACATCAACACAACGGGGCAGGAATTAACGTGAAATTCAAAGCACAGTTTGTGGGTATGCATCGATCTGAATACAGATGGAAGGACTTGTAGTGTTCAAAATCAGTCATTTTGGAGGCATTATGATTTAGGGTTGACCAACTGTCCGTCCATACAGACAGAAATTCTTCAAATTTAGCACAAATGTCTATTTGGACTCGATGGTGAACTTAGATTTTGGTGGTCAAAGGTCAAAGTTCAATGTCAGTAACCTCACATCTGTCCCATTCCCATAAATTTGACTGGTTGGTGGAGGCATAGGACTGTGAAGTGGGAATCTGAGTTTGCCTTCTGATTTTATTGTATATTTTGTGTAAAACTCTTTTGTTACACTGGTTTTGAAAGATGTTACCCAAATAAACCTTATAACATACTAGTTTAGGGAGATAGGGGGCTGTTTTATCTTGGGTTACATATTTGCCATTTAGCAACATTTTTTATAAACTGCTTTTTCCTGATCCAGTCATCGGTCATACAGATCTCTTACTGTATACCGTACATATGTTTATGTGTGCGTCTCACCACAGCCAAGCTCATCCTCTTCATTGTTACACTGCACTTTTCCATCACACTGGAACGAGGAGCTGATGCATTGAGATGACAAGCCACAGCGAAACTTCCCCACACAGCTTAGACCCACTGCAGATGCACACACACGGGTGGGGGTGGGGGAGATTGAATGCAGGTTACATAATAAACTAGATGGCATTCAGAGAGCGCAAACCTCCCCCAAGGCAGCTCACTGTCCCCATATTATCATTTCACCTAAAAGCAATGCTGCCATGATAGCGTGACCCTCATCACAATCCCTGACTATGAAACCCTACACCTGGCATTTGGAATCACAGATATCATTATTACTTTGAAAGCTATTCAAGAAAATGCATGTACGTATCACTAATGGCGGATAGATCAAATCTGTTGATAGCCTACTGAATCAACAGAGTTTCAGCTAGAACACGATCTGTTTTCGCGGAGTGGCAGGTTTTCTGTGAGGCCTATAAATTTGAACATTCTAGATCACCACATCTGGGACTTTACCTGGATCAAGATCATACTTTGGTGTGTGCTAGAGCTTATGGGAATGTTATCATACACATTTTCTCCAACCACTCTAGGCATTGTGTACGCAGTTAGAAGCAAAACTACTGAATCTCAGCACTATCTCTGCCTGGTGCTTTACTTTTCTCTCTCCTCTATCCACTCACCCCAACCGATCGAGGCAGAAGGCCGCCCACCAGGAACCAGGGTCTGTCGGAGGGTTCTTCCGTTAAAGGGAGGTTTTCCTCCCCACTGTCGCCAAGTGTTTGTTGGGTTTTTCGTCTATAATAAAAATAATAGTAAGGTCTAGACCTTACTTTGTAAAGTGTTCTGAGACGACTTTTGTTGTGAATAGGTGCTATACAAATAAAACTGAATTGAACTGAACACAGCTGGAAGATGACTTGGATATAAAGCAATAAGGAGCCTCGTGTAAGCTACTGTTACAAACGGTTGTGACACATCCTGCCCAGCTCACTGTCATTGGCTCTTGTGGGTGTCTGGTCAGGATTCAATCACTGTTGTCCCCACACTACAGGATTCCAAGTTGTAAATATGAAACATACTTGATACTTATGAATCAAGATCGGGGGCCTCCAATCCTGACAGATGATAACAATTAGGTCTTTCAACACCTCATCCCACAGGATCATTTGGCCCAAGAATCATTTGAGTGGCCTCATGTCAGGAAACGTCCCCATGATTGTTTGGAAGGGCAAATCGGGGCCAAATCCGGCTGGTTATCCTGTAGCGTGGGGCAGGCTTACCTCATGGCTGAGCTGATGTCTCTCTTAAAAGACCATAACTTCCACAAACTTAGAAATCTTTTTCTCTCCAAATTGGCATATACATCATATAAGTTAGATCCAAACCCTGACCCAGGTATTGAAGCCATTTAACTCATTCTTCCACCACTAACCATTAGCTGATTCACTCATTCATCCCTTTATTACACTGTACCATTTCATGCACATCATATCCTGATTCTCTCGTCCCTTTTGTAAATATGTACATACATTTATTTAGATTATATAACTTGCTTTCTTACGTCATTTTGTCTCTTTTTACTTAAGTAAAGAGTCACTGCCTTGAGAATTCAATACTTTCAGAACTGAGATTGGATTAATAATTGTTTGTTTACCATGTAAACCACCACCTTATTGTGGTGGAGGGGTTTGAGTACCTGAGTGATCCTAGGAGCTATGTTGTCGGCGGCTATATGCCCCTGGTAGGGTCTCCCAAGGCAAACAGGTCCTGGGTGACGGGTCAGACTAAGAGCGGTTCAAAAGCCCCTTATGAATAGATTTAGACCGTGATGTTGCCCGGCATGGCGAAGCCGGGGCCCCACCCTGGAACCAGGCCCAGGGTTGGGGCTCGAATGCGAGCGCCTGGTGGCCGGGCCTCCCCTCACGGGGCCCAGCCGGGCTCAGCCT